ATATGGCAAGTTACCTCAGGTTGATTTTTTTTTTTTGGGTTAGGTTGGCTGGGTTGATCGATTTTTTGAGCACCCCTACTCAAAGCTTGAAAAATAATATATATTTTTTTTTATTTCCTTTCTTTTACTTCCGTCTCAATAACATAAATAAAAAACTATTTTCATTTTCGTTCTTCCCAAATTCGAGAAGACAGCCTAAGAGGTAATAGAGCATTACTTTACTTCTTGTCCAGTAATAAGACGGTAAATAGTTTTAAGTTCTGTTCACACCAAAACAAACAATTTTATAGATACCAGAAGGATACTCGCGCAATACAGTGAGATATATTGAGATAATATTTCGTTTTATTTTTTTGTCTCTGTCGATATAATACGGTTTTATATGATTTTGAGAAAGCGATAATGTTTTTAATATTATAATTTTTATAAGGATAATATCTTAATTATATTTTAGATTTTTCATATTTAAAATGAGATGTTTATCATATAGTTGATTATGTTTATCTGCATTTAGCTACATGAATTCAAACGTGTAGCTTTAATAAATTGTACTTAGGCACAATTTACTTGTAACATTGAATTTCAGATAATATGCATCAATAAACTGTACTTCATGCATACAAATTAATTTTTAAAAGTACTTGTCAAATGTTTTATAAGATAGTATAAAATAACCTCTTATCTTATAGTACAACATGATAAACACTGGGATTTTAAAATAAATAAACAACACCGAAATCTGATGTCTATTTGTATTGTTAAAATCAACTCTTTAATATATACTAGAAGGGTACTCGCGTAATGCAGTGAGATATATCTCGATTTCAATGTTTCATTTTATCTTTTTGGCCTCTGTCGATTTATAATACGAATTTATTTGATTTTGAGCAAACAATAATGTTTTTATTAATAAAATATAAATTTGAAGATATCATAAAAATTAAAAAAATATATAAAAGTTCTTATTTTTTATGTAATTTTATTTAATTCAAATTTTATTATAATTTAATTTAGGTTTAATGACGAAGTAATTTATTTTTGTTTTAATAATATATTTTTTACTTAATTAGTTGTACTTATACACAATTTACTCGTAATCTTGAATTTTAAGTAATATGCATCAATAAGCAACATTTTATCACTTCATGTATAAACGATGGTTTTTATGAGTTTTTGTCATATGCTTTATAATATAACTAGAAGGGTACTCGCGCAATGCAATGAGATACATCTTGATTTTAATGTTCTATTTTATTTTTTTTGTCTCTGTCGATGTTATAGTATGATTTTATGTGTTTTTAAGAAAATATTAATGATTTTATTTTTGAATAAAATATAAATTTGAAGATATCATAAAGATTTGAAAAAAATATATCAATGTTAATATCAAATCAAGTTATCATTTTTTATGTAATTTATTTAATTTATTTTTTAATTAT